TAAGTTTATGTGTTAAAACATGCGTAGCTTATAGTGTTAAATATGTACTGCGAAACTCTCGCCTATTCCCCAAAGTTATAGAAGATTCTCGAGAGTAAGAATCAACAATATATGTGTGTACGTTGTAACGAATTTGCTATTATATATTTAGTTGAATATCAACGTTTGTTTAGATTAAGTTTATGTGTTAAAACATGCGTAGCTTATAGTGTTAAATATGTACTGCGAAACTCTCGCCTATTCCCCAAAGTTATAGAAGATTCTCGAGAGTAAGAATCAACAATATATGTATATATACTTAAACGTTTAAATGTAGCTCAGTATTGTTAGGTAAGACTGAATTTTGTAGAAAACCTTCCTACAGCTATAAATATAACCGACGCGATGTGCCAAGGAGAGTGTCTATTATTAGTTCGCTAAAATCAGTGTGCTATAACCTTCGGAAGCTATAACTGTGATTTCAATTTCAGGCCATTTGAAATTCTAATACGTAACAACGTAAACAGTTGTATTAGTGTCAGTATTGTTACGTAAAACTGAAATTTCGAGAAACTCTCCACATGCCTATAAATATAACCAGCGCGACGCGCCAATAAAGTAGTATCTATTATTAGTTTGCTATAGTCAGTGTGCTATAAACTTCGGATGCTATAACTGTGATTGTTATAACGCTTATCAATAGGTAAACTTCAGATATTTGACCAGGAGCATTTACAAAGTTCAAACATTACAAATCATTTAATTTCAGTGGAGATTCTCATTGGACATTAGTACTTTTACAAAACATTATATAACTTCATCGTGGAAAACTCGGCGTGTGTAGTTGTTGAATAACAAAGGACAGATCTAGCAAGCTCCCCGTTAAGCGAATTGTACCTACATCAACTCGTAATTAACTCGCTCATCGTGAACCCTCGATAAAACATCAAGGAAATTCCAGACTAAAAAGAAGACTTTATACTGCTTGTAAGTTTGTAAAATTTTTGTATATAAATCATTGTTTGTAATAACTATTTGAAATAACTGTTTTTGTAAATTGTATTGTTGTTTGTATATTAAAATATATTTGTGTTGAAAAAGAAAACTGTGTGTGTGTACCAATCTTGTTGGCAAATATCATAAAAGTCCTATCACAAAATGTTGTATTTCCATACTAAAATTGGTATGGAGGTTCATTAGGTCCATGCAGTGGTACATTCAAATTTCCAGTTTTTAATTTTGGGTTTGGGGTTTTTTTGGGGGTTTTTTTTTTTTTTTTTTTTACCATACATCGCTCCCTATACATAGACCTTCACCGAATTTGGTATGGAGTTTCATTGGGTCCATGGGGAGATACATACAAATTTTCAGTTTTGCATTTTAAGGCAAATGTGTGTCTACGAGTGTTATAAAAGTATATTTTGAATTCTTATAGACATGTATGTGAGTTGTAATACCAACAATAAGACCACCGAAAATAAGTATCGTTGTTAATATCGCATGCAAGCGTTTGCTGAATTTTATTAATCATGTTAATTTGCAAAACTTCATCACAACTCTCGCGAAAATGTAAGAAACAAGACTTGGGAGTTACCGAACCGCCTAGCTTATTAGTGCTATACCAGTGATTGTATCGAAACCAGCATTTATAAATACATTTATATATGCACAGATGTAGAGGCAGGGAACGCTGGTCAATGACGTGCGTGCTAATAACTTCGGACACTCTTTTAAAGTTTTGTGTGTGTGTGTGTGTTTCTGCACGAAAACAATGGCGTTAGTGTATACACATAATTTCTAACTGATGATATGGGTGGACAGAATCTTTGTACTTCTGAGTTAATTATTTACGTCTAACTGATATATTTTAAGCTGTATACCACGAGATTCCCTAGAACGTTAATTTTGCGTGCGGTATTAGGGGCGTCTACAAAGGCAGTTTACTACATAACTAGTCTTAGCAACATGAACGACAAGGTCCTTTAGAATATGCGTTCAGAGGTAAAACGGAGCCGGAACGTTATTCTAGAAGTAACAATATAAGACAGGACGCCGCTCCGGCAGCGAACTGGCCGTACGAAACGGCGAGAGCATGCTTTACTTATATTTGCCATATTCATAGTTTATCCTTTACTTGCATCTGATATACTCTTTGTTATATCACTGCTTCGGATTATCCACGTGTTTAGTTAACCTGTCAGTTTTGCACTGATAGCCTACGGGCTAACCTTTTGGTAGCTATTTTTATATCTAGGCTGTAAGGAATTTGACATATTTAAAACAAAAAATGTATAACACATGCCAGTGTTTATATCTGCACTACACTAGCAAAATAGTCCCCCAGTGGCCCAGCGTTAAATCCGAAGGTTTAAAACCCTAGAAAACGGGTTTCGATTCGTATGGTGGACACAACACAAATAGTCATTGTATAGCTTTGCTCTTAACAACAAACAAATTAACAAAGTGGCAAAATAGCAAAAATAAAAGACAAACTTGTTGTTTTTTTACATAATAAACTGGGACCCGGCATGGCCAGGTGGTTAAGGCGCTCGATTCGCATCTGAGGGTCCCAGATTTGAATTCCCGTCCCACCAAACATGCTCGCCCTTTCAGCCGTGGGGGCGTTATAATTTGACGGTCAATCCCACGATTCGTTGGTGAAAAAAGAGTAGCCCAAGAGATGGTGGGGGGTGGTGATGACTAGCTTTGTTTGTTTTTGAATTTCGCGCAAAGCTACACGAGAGCTATCTGCGCTAGCCGTCCCTAATTTAGCAGTGAAAGACTAGAGGGAATGCAGCTAGTCATCACCACCCACCGCCAACTCTTGGGCTACTCTTTTACCACCAAATAGTGGAATTGACCGTCACATTATAACGTCTACACGGCTGAAAGGTAGAGCATATTTGGTGGGACAGGGATTCGAACCTCAAATTGCGAGTCGAGCGCCCTAACCACCTGGCCATGCCAGGCCTTTGTTATACCATCATTTTAAATCTACCATGCCAAGAAATATTAAAAATATTCGATTTAATCAAAAAAATAAATACGCAATGAATTTTGAGTAATTGTTTTTAATCCATATTTTACAATATAGTATAGTTCACGCCTTGATTTAAATAGCAAAATTTTTAGAATTAATTATTTTTCAATTTTTTCATGTTACCAAACAGGTGGGCCAGGCTTTCTTCATGGTCACTTGGGTGAAAAACACGTAATATTATTTGTGTGATTACGTAGAAAATATTGGCAAATTATATCTAAACACCTTAGTGTGAAGGCGGAGCGGACAGGTGAACTAACAGGGTGTGGCCTCCCAATCCA